AAAAAAAAAAAAAAAAGGCGGTCGAAAGCGGAAAAATGAAAGCTCCGCTGAAAAAGAAAAGGTTTGGAGAGAGAAAGTGGAGAGAGAAAGTGAGATGTGCTGGCAGAAGCTGCACTACACGTAGTCCGTAGAGGAATGGAGTCCTTGGTTGTAATATTGTGGAAGAAAGTACTAAAGTACCCCTTGGGCAAAACAGTCCAATGACAAATGAAGGGTGCGATTTTTTTTTTTTTAAAAAAAAAAAATATTATTTCACAACTAATAACTTTTTTTATAAGTTTTTCATTTAAAATTTAACTTGAATTTCATTAAATTCAAATTTTCTTAATATTATCTACATAATTAAATATATTAAATATGTTGGGTGTGTGAATATAATTGCGTTTTGAAAAATGGCAAAGAATATCACGAACGGAAAATAATGACTAACGATTCGATCAAACCACAAAAACGAACCACGAACACAATCCTCAAACAAATAATTCTGATAACAATCAAAGTCGAGGCATGTGAAACACATTCTCCTTAACAACCAAATTGTCAGCTATTAATGCTCACAGTTCTCGACAAACGTTTTCAAGATACGGTGATTTTTATCATGTATATAATGGTACTTCAAATACATAAGATTTTGGCAAACTTAATGAGTCAAAACAGTTTGTGGTATTTTGCAAGTTCCTTTGACTTTTTTCATGAAGGAGAAGAGAATAGACATTTGCTAAAAAAAGGCAATATAGTGGACAATAAGAAATGACTTATGAGTGGAGTAAAAATCATTTAACTCGAGTAATAATTTCATAACAGCATCTTGCTCTTGAGCAGATATCATCGACTCAAAGATGTTGCGGGTGCAAGAAGTGAACGCCCCACAAGTACAATGAAAAAACAGGTCTATATATTATATAGTCATCCCAAAAGAGATTTGAAAGAGTTAAAGTAGTACTGTGTTTATAGAAGATGAACATTGAGGGCGTGATTGTTGTTGATGTTGAAAATTGAACGATCAACGGTCGATTATAAGTCGAATATCTTGTAGAAAATTTAAGAATAATGTGATAGAATGGGTGTTTCATTTTCTTATTTCATGGGAGGATTTATCTTCCTCATTTTGTTGTTGGGAGGAGAAAGTGAAGAGAAGAACCTTCTCTCTCCTCTTTTCTACATAATATATGTCCCTCTCCCTTTTGCAAGTGGGTAATTAAGTAAGTAAAAAATGGTATATCATCATTTAATGTGAGATAATCATCATGGGGCCTGCTTATGACTTTTGACGGTTTTAATTGACGTTTGTCTTCTCAGCAAACGATTACTTGGGCCGAAGGCGACTTCTTCATGGTACGTGGGTCATCCGATTACTTGAGACTTTGTCCGGCTCGGCAGTGGGCGGACTCGACATCTAGGGATCCGAGCGGCTTTCGAGTGATCCGTTTTGAGAACCTGTTTGTACATTCATTTATTACGTATCTCCGACTTCTTGGTTATCAAGCCGTATTTTATTATTTTATTTATTTAATAATCGGAGCCAAATTGGGTATCAATAATCGTTTACAAACTAATCCGTTCAAAATGAGTTTTTTTGGATAACCAAAGATAATTTTGAAAAAGACTGTATTGTTAGTTGGTAGTGAAATTTTAAGTTTATATTAAAATGATACTTAAATAAATTAATTAAATTTTATTTGATGTAAAAATAGGAAAAATATGATATGGAGTGATCATTAGTTAAAACAATATGAGTGGATAAATGACGAATTAAAGCTGATGTAACATGTAAAAATAGTTAATTTATATTAATTAATGATGTGAGTAATATAAAAAATATAACGTTGAGTTAAAGTTAGTTAGATTTTGAGGATGAATTAAAATTGGAGCGGATTTATTTTGAATACAACACCCCTTGATCCATGGAACTGAATGATTTAGACCGACTTTAACAGAAAACACCACTGCAGTCCAAGGAAACCACCACACAACATTGGAGATAACAAAAAACATTTGGTATTATTGCAAACCCATGAAGACACAACAATAGACTAGACTACCATATAAACATCACACAAACACATCAATTCATCTCATCACACCACTAATGGGAGCTACACAAATAAACCCCCAAAAAAGGGATGAAACAATTCCTAAAGCGAGCAAACCCATCCAAATAACAGTAACAAACAAAAAGAAAAGAAGCTCCTCCTCATAGCTAGCATCTGTACATGTAATCATCGTCGACCACCGACTGCGGCATCCCGTCCAGCAGGCAGTCGACTGGCGGTATGGTGAGCGTCTCCTGCACTCCGTACGCGTTCCAGCAGAAAGGGTCGTCCACCAGCACGCCCTCGTGCGGCAGCAGCTCCACCTCCGACATCGTGATGTTGGTGCACGCGACCGTGTCGCTGCACGCAAAGTGTATGGGAGGGGACCGCACGTCGTACGTGCCCTTGATGTTCCGGAAGGTGACTCCCGAGAGCCGGACGGCCGACGTCTGGTTCCGGCACGCCTTGGTGAGGCAGTAGTACTGGTCCACGATCACGCAGTTGCGCACGTTCTCCATCTGGATGTTCTCGAACGAGATGCCCGTCACCGAACCCGTCCCGCCCTGCCACGTCTTTATCCGCACCCCGTTGTCCGACTCCCTTATCACCGCGTCCCGCACGCTCACGTTCGACACGCACGCGTGCGAGTTGTGGGGCCCCAAGCTGCCTATGCTGCAAATTATTATCATTTTTTAATAAAATGTTTGAGTTTTCAGTTTTTACAATTCTCAACTATAAAAAAACAGAAAACAACAACAACAAAAGAACAATATATACCTGATCCCGTGACTAGGCCCGCAGGTGACGCCTTCAATGGCGACATCCGAGCAGCCCGTCCCGATCGAAATGCAGTCGTCTCCTGTTCGCATCTCAATCCAAACCAGTCTTTTAGTTATCGATTTAGTTTTTAAAAGTTTGCTGAAATTAATGATAAACGATGACAAACCATTGGCTATGACGGAGTTGTATATCCCGACGGATTTCGTGTTCTCGATGTGAATTCCATCTGTGTTGGGGCTCAGCTTCGGGGACGAGATGGAGAGCTTGTCGATGAGCACGCCTTGGCAGCCGTCAAACTTCATGTGGAACTGTGGGCTGTTTTGAATGCGCAGGCCGGAGACTACTAAATTGGTGCTCATGAAGAAGCGAATGAGCTGTAAAGATGACAACAAGAATGAATTAAGACATTTTATTTATTAAGTTCTATCTATATGTTATCAATGTCGATCATCATCGTTCGAAAACCCACCGCAGGGCTGTCGCACGGTCCCGGCAGTGTCGATCCATTAGGACCCTGAAAAAACAACACCATCTCCCGTTAATTGGTGGCCAGTTAAATTTTATAACCAAAAAAGATTGTACTAACTAACTAACTAACTAACCCTGTGAGGCTTGCAAGGAAGATCCCACCACTTTTGGCCATTGCCTTCAATTGTGCCTGTGCCAATAAAACTCATATTATCCAGCTTATAAAACACGAGCCACTGCTTGTTACTGTCGGATTCCGGCCAGCAATCTGGCCCGTTGGGCGGCATAATCACCCCGTCCACCCGAAAAACAAGTCCCGGCTGGCAAGGCCCGGAAAAAATGGTGGATGTGATCAAGAAAACTCGGCCCGAAGGCACCAAGACGACGCCGCTGTCCACCTGGCAGGCGGCCTTCCACGCGGACCGGAAGGCGGCGGTGTCGTCGGTGGCTCCATCCCCGACAGCCCCGAAATCCGTGACGTCGAAGGTGCATCCCGAGACGGGGTTTTCGTGGCGGGTTGGGGCGGGGTCGAAACTCGGGTCGGACGGGATGGAAGGAGGATTCGGGCCGGGAGCATTGACAGGGGAGATGCCATTGCCAGGTGGACTGTTGTTGTTGTTCTTCTGCTTCTTCCCCAAATGGTGATGCCTGGCTGCACTTACATCATTTTCGAGTAAAAACAAGATGGTTGTGACAATAATAACCACAGAAAGCAAGCTGACTGTGACTGAGGCTAATCCTCCCATTGGGTCTTTTCTCTCTGTTTTCAACAACAATGTGAAGCTTTTTTTTTTTTTTTTTATCCTAACATTGAGCTAAAAACATTGTGACAAATCTCTCTCGTGAGGAAATTTATTAAGAAAACTTGTCTTTTTTTATTCAATTAAGGATTAATTGCAGTGCAAGTTTTCTGGTGGCAAGAAATCAACTTGAGGCTGTGATTTTATACTAGAAAACAATGAGGACTTGGAACAGAGGCAACAAACTAACACGTGTCGAGTTTGTGTTGATTCGTGCGTCATTGTCTGCAATTTTTTCCTTTTTTTTTTTTTTATTTTTTTAACTATCTTTAATCAATGAATAAGAAGGTCATGACTACTTAAGGTCTATACAAAGCCTAGACTAGAATCGATCGAGAATAAGACACTCTAACTCTATCGTGATGCAACTATAGGCTCGCTCCCGTCTGGGGCTGATCCAACCTATGAAGACCTCCCGGGCCCTTAATCAAAGACTGTGTTTTTATTTATTTATTTTTTCACAGGAGAATCTGTTTGGTTTCTCTTATTATTATTATTATTATTATTATTATTATTATTATTATTATTATTATTTTAATCTGCCAGCTTTTTGTTGGGTTGTGAAATTTTCCATCTGAAGATATCTCATAAATTTTGTGTTTAATGGCTTTTCTGTTGTTTGTTTACAGCCTTCATTGGTGGTGGTCCTGAGTATACACATGAATAATAAATGTATACTACTTTCATTTGTCTCATTTTTCATCACTAAATTATCATACTTTTTCAATAAATATGCATAATTTCAAACTTATTATTTTATATCCTAAACAACAACGTAAAAAAAAACTATTAGAATATTCACATTTGAATTGTCTCACATCGTTTATATAAAGAAAATAGTCTCAATTTATAAGTATGATGAACTATTACTCCTCATTTCACCAATTGATTTTGTGATGGAACTTCACTTTGGCTTCATATGAGCTTCCATGCTTATGTTGCGCTTCACACGTCCCGTTTTTCTTCCCATTTCTTACAAAAACTATAGATTAAATTGCTTCAACCTCACAGTTTTTCTTCTCATTTCTTACAAAAACTATGGATTAAATCGCTTCAGCCTCAGTGTGGGACCGCTCTCGTTTTTCTCTCCACTGTTTTTTTCCATGTTTCTTACAAAAACTACGGATCAGACTTCAACCTCGTGATTAGACCGTCTCATACACAAATTATGTTTTCATGTTTTGTTTATAATGTGTAGGTGAAATGTATGTGAAAGTGACATGCTATTGGGGGAATTGGAGGAGCTTGTGAGGTGCTTTGGGGTCATGGTTTTCTTGAAATTCGCGAATCTGATCAAAAGAGTCAAGATCCTCAAAACTCATTCAAATTCCAATACACAACATATTAGGGTCATTATTATATTAAATATTATATTGTTGTTGTATTTTGTATTTGTTGCCTTCGTAATGCCACCGAATTGAACTTTTAACGTTTTCACAATCTTGAAACTTCTGGAAATAATAATAATAATAATAATATTAATAATAATTTTGAACGAGAAAAAAAAAAAAAAAAAATCGGTATGTTACATTATTAAATTAAATTGTAAGAAATACATGTATCGAAATGTATAGATTCTTCCACTATATTTTTTCTTTTGTCATCACAATTATATATTATGAAATGTCTTTTTTTTTTTTTCAAATAACATAATACAATCAAATAACAATTGGTAACAGCCGAAATGAACAATCACAAGGCTAGAATCCTTGTGAGGATCACCCAACTGGCATCCTAATCGAAACCAAACTGCACACCCACAAGCTACAACTCACCCACAAGCTCCCAACAGAAGAATTTAACTCACAATAGGAGTATTTAGCTCCCAAAAGAAAAATACACACCACACACAAAAAACAAAAACAAAACACACAAATACCACACCTAAAACACGTGAAAATCCTCCACCAGCTACATGACAACACCCATAACATAAGATAGTGGCACCGAGCACGAGACAGGAAACTCCTGACCAAAGTCGGCTAACCAGAACCCGCCCGAAAACCAACATACCCTTCATCAGGCAGACGCCTCCAGAAAAACTCGAATTGTTTACAACAAGCCCCACCCGCATACACCCCAGAACCACAGCCCTTCCCAACCAAAGCAAGGCTGCTACTTCCGATGTAGCCCACCAATCCCAACACCAGAGATTGGTCAACACCAAGCACAAGCTTGATGCGAAAACCCGACTCCAAAATGTTGTCAGCGCGACACTCAGAGTCGGCTGCTGAGCGAGAAATCGAAGACTCACCGGACACCCCACCCCTCTGCCATGGCCACCAAGAGCAATGGGAAGCGCCACACCAGACGAGGGTCCGTCAAGACACCACACCTCCCCCAACCAACCCGACGAGGGCTTTCGCACTTTTGTTCGTAAGGAAAAAAAAAAGTATTTTTAACTATAGCTTTTGATCAGTATGGATTATATTCATGTATTTGAATAGTATGCTTATTTTCTAACGATTATAATGTCTAACAAAAAAAATATTATTGAGTTTGAAATTATTCAAAAAGTATGAAGAATCTGTTGGCCAAACTATTAGGCTAACTTACAAAAAATTATTTTGTTGATTTAGCATGAAATGTTGGCATTTCTATCCACGGGCAATTTCAATGTCATTCATGAATTGACGTAGTGAACTGCCTCTCATTTTTATTCAAGAATAATATTGTACTAACCTGACGACTTGGATTATTAGGTCATGCCATTGCCACTTGATGAGAATCGGACTTTCGAGTGGAAATCAGATCGCGTGGATGATGACGGGATAAGTTGGATTATTATGTATTAGATATGATTAAATTAAGTAAATAAATAAAAATAATAAATTATTTTTTAAAATCACCTTAACCCCCTCCCCTAATATTAATCCAGAATGCGTTGAGCCTACGTGGCTGTTTCTGGTACTTCGTAATCATATGTGGCAAAATTACATGCTTCGTTATTAGGCTTGGGTAAATTTTAATTTAATTCTAAATAAAAAATAATTAGGTTAAGATTACCATAAATATGTTGATTATTTATGGTCATGTTACATGTATTAATTGCATTTTAATATCATTCATTATTATAACTATTGAATTGTATATATATTTTAAAAGTTAATATCTTTTGTATTTTTTATCAGTTTTACAAATGTAATAAATCAAATTAATCTTCTTTTGATGAGTTTCGATTTAACATCCAAATTGTATGTATAAAAAAATAATTTATATTTATCTTTATAACAATAATAGAATTATTTTTAATATTAATTAAAAAAATAAAATTATTTATCAACTAATATATTTATATTTCAAGTAGTTATATGATATAAGTTATAAAACTAATATAATATAACACATGTAAGTCATAAGTAATCATTCTAAAATATATAGTAATATATTTATAAAAAAAACTAAACTAAATTTAATATAGTTTTCTCATTCATTTTTAAATTTAAGAATAATTTTTTGACAAACACCCGTGTAATATATGGGTGTTGTACTAGTAAGAATATGAATCCATATAAATTTTTTTATGAAAAATTATAATGAAGATTATTTTCATAAATTGAGAAGTAATTGAAAAATATAATTGGAATATTATTTTTAATAATAATCTAACTATATAATAAATTAGGAAATGAAATAACAAGGGAAAATTAAAAAGTGAATCGGTAAAAAATAATAAACTTTTTAGTAAAATTACCTTAATAAGAAAAAATATTATTTAGTAAAATCACCTTAATAAGAAAATGAATATGTATATATATATATTGATAAATATTGATAAAAAAATGCCACATATTGATATAAAAAAATATTGATATATAAATATGAAAAAAAATTAATAAATATTATTTTTAAAAATTGATAAGTGATTTTAAAAGATACATAATTAAAATATTATTTTTATTAATAATCTAAATATGTAATAAAATAAGAAATAAACAAAAATATGTAATAAAAATAGAAAATTAAAGTGAAGCAATAAAAAAGAAAATTGAAATTGTGTTTAAATACGATTTCTTCCTTTTATTGCATATTTAGATTATTAATAAAAATAATATTTATAATTAAACATTTTCACAAGTATAACTTATATGAATTTATTTCGTCATTAAGTTAATTTTGAAATATATTTAATATTTTTTACATAAATATGTAAAATACATATTATAAAATATAATATTATGGTTCACATATTTATGTCAAAATTAAAATTAATTGGACCACACATTCAAAAGTTAAACAAAAAAATGAGTCTTATACTGAGAATAACCTAAAATACAAACTTTTTATTGAAAAAAATAAAATAAAAAATTCAAGGCTAAATTGAAACTATTTATATAAAAAAAAATGGTCATGTAATTGAATTTTCCCTTTACAAAAATAAAAGTTGGGAGGAAAAAAAAAAAATAAAAAAATAAAAAGAATAAATGCAGTTGAGTTTTTTTTTTTTTTTTTTTTGGGTACAAAAATGCAGTTGAGTTAATTGGTACAATCTCAATAATGCAAGAATGACATGGCTGGATGTTCTATTGAATTGACATTTAAGGTGTGAGAGAAAGGGTGATCATTAAATTAAATAAAGACAGCAAAATAAAATGAATTAAAAAAAAAATGAAATTAAATGAATATATATATATGCATTTGTTGTGGGTAGGTAATGTGAGGGAGTGAATAGTTTGGTGTTAAAAGGAGAAAAGAGTTCCCGTGACTCTGTGTTGTTGTGTAGCAACTTGTGGCCATGGAGGAAGTAAGAAGCAAACACTAGAACACTCCATACACACTTATTAAACCCCTTCACGGGTATTTCAATTTTAGGTCTACAAACCCTACTTATCTTTAACTAATTATAAATTAACATGCACAACTTTCTTATCCCTATGATTTAATTTCACAATGACTTCCTTAGTGTTATCTTGGTTGCCGAAATGGGACGTCAGTCACTAGAGTTG